TTTTTTTTTTTTTTTTTTTGAGACAGATTCTCATTCTCTTGTCCCAGACTAGAGTATTGTGGTGTTAACCTAGCTCAGAGCAACCTCAAACTCCTTGGTTCAAGCAACCCTCCTGCCCCAGTCTCCCAAGTAGCTGGGAATCCAGCCACTAGCCAATATGCCTGGATAATTTTTGTATTTTAGTAGAGACGGGTCTTGCTCTTTCTCAGGCTGATCTCCCTGCCTTGGTTTCCCAGAGTGATAGGATTATAGGTGCAAAGCACTGTGCCTGCCTTTAGATTTAGATTTAGAAGATTTGGCTCTGAAATTAGGTTGCAGATATTTTTATTGGTTTCATTAGACAAAAAACTTAGGTTTTTAAGGAAGGAAAACTATGATAGAAGAATGATGACCTGCTATTCTTTTTTTCTCATAGCTGTGGATCAAATAGTTTTTCAGAAGAAGCTCTTTCAGACCCTGAGGAAACATTCTTCTTATCCCAAAGTATGTATTTTTTCCCTGTTTTTTTTTGCGTTTGCCAGCAGTCTCTGGAAAACACCGGCATGAAGTTGAGTGGGCTAGAATGATTTTTGGTTAACTGATAGCAAATGTCAAACTAAAAATCTTATTTTTCCCTTGTCTTTTTTTTTTTAATTTTTTTTTTATTAAGATAATAGAAGAATTTGTTAGTGGCCTGGAGTCTTACATTGAGGACCAAGACAATTTCAGGAACTGCCTTTTGTCCTGTGAACGCCTGCAGGATGAGGAAGCCAGGTGTGGAGAGGAGTTATGAAATGTTGCTAAAATTCTGTCTGTTGTACTAACTGTACTGGGGAGTGAGGAGAAGAATTCAATATTTTAGAATTTTTATTTTTGATTTTCTACAATTTAAACCTTATGAAATTCTTCATTTTTGTGTGGCTAAGAACCAGAGTGTTTTCTAGAATGTATTTCACTTGTGTTGATAGAATTTGAAATCTTCACCTTGCTAAGAGCTATCTGCTTATGTTCAGTATTTCTTGTCTAACGGGATAGTTTCTCTTTAGATACTACATATTTTATGAAAACATTAAAAGAAGGAAAGCAAAATAGAAAACAAATTTAATCTCTCTTTTACAGCATGGGCACGTCTTACTCGAAAAGCCTTATCAAACTGCTTCTGGGGATTGACATATTACAGGTAAGACTGTCACTTTTTCTGTGAATATTTGATGGATGTGATTTGTGGTATATACTCAAGTTTAAATGGCTGGAACACAGAGGAGAGTAGGGTTAATGGGAGAATTTGGGGTTGTAGCAGCTTACCATAGCCCTGTTGCTGATATGAGTCTGGTGGGGTAATATTTGTGTTTTTGATCTATGCTGATTAGGTCAATACATCTGGCAGTCCCATTTATTTCCTCAGCATCTGATTCCTGTTTCTTTCTTTTGAGACAGAGTTTTCCTATGTTGCCCTTGGCCTCAGCTCACAGCAACCTCCAACTCTTGGGCTTAAGCAATTTTCTTGCCTCAGCCTCCCAAGTAGCTGGAACTACAGGCACCTGCTACAATGCCTGGCTATTTTTTGGTTGCAGGTGTCATTGTTGTTTAGCAGGCCTGGGCTGGGCTTGAACTGCTAGCCTCAGTGTATGTGGCCAGTACCCTACTCACTGAGCCACATTTTCAGTTCTTTTTCAAAGACAAAAAGAAGTCTTTGTCTTCCAACAGATTATATTCAAGATATAGCCAAGTTGGGGGGGGGGGAAGATTTAGCCAAGTATTCATTTGGACACTCCTATAATAAAACAGTGTCAATTTTAGCAAGATCTTTCCTCTCAGGTCTGGTGGGAGGGAGAATTCTGGCTAAATTTATATTCCAGTTGTGTGTTTCAGATCATCTAACTCCATGTATCTTCTTTTTAGCCTGCCATTATCAAAACCTTATTTGAGAAGCTGCCAGAATTTCTTTTTATAAAGTAAGTGGAGTTATTCTGGAATGCTCAAAGTACTTATGTTTTTCTCTGAAAAGGTTACTGTGAATTATCATTTTTTCTCTCAAGGTTGTATTTATCAAGATGCCAGATTTTTTTTCTTTCTCTTTTTTTTTTTGACAGTCTCACCCTGGGTAACTCTTGGGCTTAAGTGATTCTTTTGCCTCATCCTCCGAAATAACGGAGACTACAGGTGCCTGCCACAATGCCCAGCTATTTTTTGGTTGCAGCCATCGTTGTTTGGAGGGCCTGGGCTGGGTTTGAACCTGCCAGCTCAGGTGTATGTTGCTGGCGCCTTA